GGCTCAGGAGTGCTTACCTTCTAATGAGGTGACACGGGGTCATCTGACCAATGCAATAATCGTGGCAAAAATTTAATTAATAACAATACTTGTTGAAAGAGCCGTGGTAGCTCGCGGGACAGAGAGTTCGACTTCCAATGAGGTGAGCCAGGTTTGAATCCCAGTGATGGCAGGTTGATACGAATTTCGCACCCAGCTCGCACTGACCACAGTGCTGACGTGAAATATCCTCAGTGGTAGTCAGATCACGGGTTAGAGTCTCCTTGCTGTCAGACTAACCGTAGGAGGTTTTCTTGGTTTTTTTTCTTCATGCAACTCAAATGTGGGTTAGCTCCATCGAAATGTCCCTCAACGAATTCAAATTTCTTCCAATACTTGATCTAGGAGTTCCCTTGTCTTCTGGTGTAGGTTCGAAATGACAAGGCTACGGAGTTGAACATCGGTAGTCATAAACTCAAAATCAGCTGTTCAATGACGGATATAAAATAATAGCAAGCTGGAAATTAAAATAGGATTTCTTATGTTATTATTTCCACCTTATTTATTATAAATTACTAGGTGCCCCCCCCCCGTAGTGGCTTGAATTCCTTATTGCTCTTCTTTCTTAAAAGTTGATAAAAATTAGATTACTCTGTTTAAAAACTGCAAAATTATTATAATTCTAGGTCATCACGTTTGGTTAACGTGCTACTAGTAGCGAAATGAACTGGTACTTTAGCTAGAGAAATAATTAACTGTTCCTTTTAGAACAAAAAAAAATATGGAAACTCAGGAATACAAAATGTGCGACAGAATAAAAAGTGAAAATGAGAGGTAGTTTTATTTGTTAACAGTATAGAACGATAGCCTTAAAACAGTTCGAATTGAAACATAATATCTTTTTCGAGTCTTTTATATTCTTAAAAATCTCGATACAATTTAATTTGTCAACATCAAAACTCACTCCATTGTATTTATACATTCGTTTTTTTTTAAAAATTTTTTGCCATCAAGTTAAATTCAAGCTTATAAAGTGATAACTCCAGAGAGATAAATTTTTCTACAACGATAGATAAATAATCAATTTTTAAATCAAAAAAGTAAGAAAAATTGCAAAAAGAGCACTTAAAACTGCAAAAACGTTTCGAATGAATTGAAATTTCTAAAAAGAAGCAAATGTTAAACTCATATACAAAATTAGTACTTTCATAGTGTCAATTTTCAATCCCGTAGTTGCATATCTGCGAATCGTGAGTGGCCCGCATGTTATTTTTTATTACAATCTTAACGCGTAATGATTAAGTTGATTATCGAATATTAAGTGTTTTATTCCGGCGTACTCAAAGTACATTTCTCTACACAGTTTTTTTGCATTTCCGAACTTCTAAGTTTTTCAAAGTTACTAAGTTTTTGCGCAGCAAAATAAAATGTCCAGTAAAATTTTACACTTAAATCATCATGACTACATTTCTAATATACTGAGAAAATGTGGAAATTTAAAAATGATTGTTTTACCAAATCTCATTATTGTTTTTGCTTAACTATTAATTATCAATTCAGAGTCGCGGTGGCTCAGGGGATATAGCGTTCAATTTTTAATGAGGTGAACCGGGTTCGAATCCCAACGATGGCTGGTGGATACGAATTCTGCTTGCTCCTTGCACGACCACAGTGCTGACGTGAAATATTCTCAGTAGTAGACGGATCGTGGATTAGAGTTCCCTTGCCGTTAGGCTAACCGTGTGAGGTTCTCGTGGTTTTCCTGTCCATGTAACGCAAATGCGAGTTAGTTCCACCAGAAAATCCTGAGCGAAGGCAAATTTCTTCCAATACTTGATACGGGAGTTCCCTTGTCTTCTGTATTGGGTTCAAAATTACAAGGCTAAGGAGTTAAACATTAGTACTCCAAACCCAGGAATTGGGTCGGCTGCTCAACGAAGGTTTTTAAATAAAATATTAAAAATTATCAATACAGTTTTTATGTTTATCTGTATTTATATTCATATAGATTTATATAAAATCAAAAAAAAATAAATATAATGTAAGCAAAAAAAGATATTCCAATGTTTTATGTTCAGTGCTAATTTAGGTTTTGCAAAAATTCGATATATTCAGAAAATACTTTTTTCTTGGCAAAAATTTATAGGTTAAAAATGATTGACCCATTCCTTTAATTTTATGTTCATATTTACTTCAGTTTTTTGTCTCAATTTTGTTTTGTTTTATTTTAATTTTTTCTTGCTTTTGGTTTTGAGATAAATTTTGATAATTATTATTTTCATTTTCTTTTAAAAAAATGCAGAAACAAAAAAATTAAAGAACTTACAAAACAAACCTATAAAAATCTAATTTCAAGAGCAAGAAGTCAAAGCCGGAATCTATGGCCCATATATCACGACTCATTAGCAATGGTCGGTGTGTGAAGGTAAACAGACATAGAAGTAAATGAGAACCCAAGTCTGGATTCGAACCTGTTCCAGACAAAGACCGCTTTTTAACCATAAGGAAGAGGCACTTGATAAAATACTCATTATGTTTTAACCTCGAAATAAGTAATATAAAATTTTTTCTTAAAGTCAGTTCCGTCTTAAGTCAAGAAAGAAATTTTTTTTTATCTTAGTTACTTTTAAAAAATTTTTTCTGATATAAGACTAAAATTTATTAATTAAATTTAATTAATGTATTAAGATGTGAAAAAAAACTGTATTAAAATCAAGTATCATCCACTACAAGATTAAAAAAATATATTTAAACTTGAATAAAAAGTATTTTATTAACGATTGCAAATGTGAACAAGACATATAAATATATATAGGGAGAGTGGGAACTTATAGTAGGAATTGAAAAAAAAAAGCGCGTATTATGAGACAACCATAAAAGTATACATTTGGTGACGTGGAATACACGTGCTACCACGTATTGTTCTTTATTGAATTTATTTGAAGCAGCGAATGCTGTTGTTCATTTACGTCGCACTAGAGCTGCACTATGGGCTATTGGCGACGGTGTGGGANAGTCAGTGATGCTTGACTTCAGTGATCTGCTGGGAACCGTGTCTTAACGATCAGTCAACTGCGGGACCTGAAGCAGCGAATAGAAAATAATAATTAATAATTTAAATGTGAGCATTAAACTATTATTTGGTTCAAATAGAGCTATAAGTTAGAAATTGTCACTGATGTTAGTTTTAAAATATGTGAAAAACTAAATTGCTTATTGTAAAATTTAAAACAATGACAAACGCTTAACCCATCAGAAAATTCCCTTTCGTTTTTCGCTCATCCCTATTTAATGAACGAATTAATATTAGAAAAAAAACTGTATTAACATCAAGTATCATCCACTACAAGATTAAAAAAATATATTTGAACTTGAATAAAAAGTATTTTATTAACGATTGAAAATGTGAACAAGACATATAAATATTTTTTTTATTTTTATTTTTTTAACGGCAGGCACTGAACTTGCGTTCTTCGCCTAGGAAGATGCCGGAGTTGTTACTCATTTAGCGTTACCCAGTGGGCACCTGTGAACCTAAGTCACGGAGGCGAGCAACATTACCCACGCCACACTGCCACATACCCGTTTATAGGGTGGGCCACATTCACGCATCGCACAATAGAGAACACACACAGAGAGAAACATCCATGCCCTGAGCGGGATTCGAACCCGCAACCATTGGCTTCACAGTCAGGCACGCTGACCGCTCGGCCACTTGGCCTTATAGTAGGAATATAGTGTGAACTTTTGTTGGAATTGAAAAAAAAAAGCGCGTGTTATGAGACGCCCATAAAAGTATACATTTGGTGACGTGGAATACACGTGCTACGATGTATTGTTCTTTATTGAATTTATCTGAAGCAGCGAATGTTGTTGTTGTTGTTCATTTACGTCGCACTAGAGCTGCACTATGAGCTATTGGCGACGGTCTGGGAAACATCCTTGAGGATGATCCGAAGACATGCCATCACAATTTAGATCCTCTGCAGAGGGCATGGCACCCCCGCTTCGTTATCCCGACGCAAAGTCGAGCACTTTACGGTAGAACAGTTTAACGAGGACCAATACCGCACACCCTCGGTCCTTACGCGGGCTGTTCCAAGTGGTCGCTCACCCGCACACTGACCGTAGCCCGTGATGCTTGACTTCGGTGATCTGCTGGGAACCGTGTCTTAACGATCAGTCCACTGCGGGACAATTTAAATGTGAGCATTAAACTATTATTTTGTTCAAATAGAGCTATAAGTTAGAAATTATCTCTGATGTTATTTTTAAAATACGTGAAAAACTAAATCGCTTATTGTAAAATTTAAAACAGTGACTAACGCTTAACCCATCAGAAAATTCCATTTCGTTTTTTGTTCATCCGTATTTAATGAATGAATTAATATTTGAATAACAAAAACTGTATTAACATAAAGTATCATCCACCACAAGTTTAAATAAATATAATTGAATCTGAGTGGATGAATAAAAAGTATTTCATTAACGACTGAAAATTTGAACAAGATAATATGGAGAGTGTGGACCAATAGTAGGAAGTGAATAAGTACCCAAATCTGGAATCGAACCTGTAAAAAAAAGGGCCGCCATTTTAACTATAAGAAATGGGCATAATCAAATACTCAATATGTTTAAACCTCGAAAAAATATAATTTCAAGAGAAACCGGTACAATAGCAATATGCAAACATATAATTTTGGTAAGGATTCAACATGTTTAAACTATTGATATATCTTAATATGTTATAAACATGCTACTTCATAGCTGTAAATCAAAATTATCACCTTATATTTCTTTACAAGGTGCACGAAACACTATAATTAAATCATGAATTCTAACTAAATATTTGGTTTACATTTATACCAACAGTTTTTTTCTTGTGTGTGTTTAGTTATAAATCAAAACGTTAATTTATGATATTTTTATAGCCCCCAAAACAATGTAACTCATGATTTGAATACTGGTTAAGACTTGGCTGAAATTACGGGAGAAAAAGATATAAACCCTGGTATGGGCAATGAAACTGGGTTTATCATTCATGGCGATTATTCGAAAAGCAACATTCTTTTGAAAACAATGATCAATTTCCAGTTCTGATTTTTAACGGAATCTTTTTTCCATCAACCGTATATCTACGGGTTATTGCTTTGAGAATCGTAAAAAAAGTGTTGAATGCATAAAAGACGTATAATTGCATTGATTATGGTTCCAGTTAGAAGGAAGAATGGCTGCAGTTACAGTTAGCTTATATTTCAGAGGTATATTATTTTTAAAGAAGTTTACGCAAGAAAAAGTTCTCAAGACTGAATTAGAGAATAAGGTAAATAATGATTCTGTTATCCTAATTGATTTAAGAAATGCTAAGAGTGTTTTTTAATAAATTGGTTTATACATTTATTTGAATAGCAGAAAATTGTTTCTGAAAGGGCTCGTTACGGGTTTTTTTTTTTTTAATAATGTCTGAAATTATGAAATAAAAAAAAAAACTTTTCATTCTGCAGAAAAATTAGCAACAAAAAAATCTTTTTTTCTACACGAATGTCAATTTAAAATTTTAGTATTACAGTACCTGGTTAAATTATTAGACGCACTGTAAGATTCTATGTAAAATCTTAATTATCAGGTGATACTATACAGCTTTATTGTTTTTACGCGGTTTGCACTTGTTTACATTCTTGTATCAATTGGCTGAATGAGACAATATATAATATAAATTCGACAATAGGATAAATTAGACGATATATTATATAAATATAGAATATTTATTATATCAGGTATTAATATTAGTATATTATAATAATTGAATCAAATTATTAAATGCACTGTAGTGTTTTAATAATTGCATGTTTTGCACGAATTTATATGCAATCTTGTATATATAATTCTCTTACGTGGCTCCCAAATTTTGGCTGTATTTCTTTTCCGCCGGTGGTAACGTTTACTTTGTTTTGTTTACGTTACTATTTCTCTTACACGGCGAATCGACCAAGGATTGCCTCTAAAAGTATCACATGCCGAATCTAGCTGAGGTGGCTCAACATATAGCGCTTTTTGAAACGGGAACTGAAATAACCAGGGAGCATCAGCTGCGACAATCTCATACTATTAAGCTAGGCAGAAGTGAGTAGTCTTTGTCGATAGATCTCTATTTTAGTATTTTGTCGAAAGCGCTCTTTTTCACGAATTTATTTGACGAATTTATATTACGAATTTATTTGACGATTTTTGATTTATATCACGAATTATACTATAGCACGTTTCTAATAGATTTAACAATGTCATTTATTTTAATTCAAATTTATTTTAATGACTTAGTATTTACTAAAAAGATGTAATTTTTTTTAAAAAAAAAGTTTTTATATGGATTTGAATGATTGTTTTGAATTTTTAGAATTTTGTGCATTTGAAATGTACCTAAGTTAGTAGCGAGCGAAGCAAACCATTTAAGATTGCGTAGCAATTTTATGGGGGTTGGCTAGCGTTAGCGAGCAGGGGGCGCATCCCACTAGTATTTTTATATTTAAACATACATGTAATGAGATTTAATTAGAGAGATTTTTTATATACTTCCTATTTGTACTTATTTTTGAACGTATTGCATTACAATGTTAACCCATTGATGTACGAACATAAACAAGTGCAAACCGGTTTCAGTCTCGTAAAAACAACAAAGCTGTATAGAGTATCACCTGATAATTATTATTTTACATAGAATCTTACAGTGCGTCTAATAATTTGTACATCAATGCTCAATACTCATGAAATATAGATATTGATCTATACACAACGCTACCAACAGTGCCGGATTAAGCGTATTCGGGGCCCTAAGCCATTCAAATTTTTCGGGCCCTTAGATTGGGGCCCTTCACTATTGGAAATTTCAATTTGTTTACTGGTTGATGGAGAGCTGGTGAAATGTATCCTTGAAGAAAACAAGACGTCAGTTTTGGTATTTTTGCTGATTCTGCAGCATCATTGATTTTTTTTTCTCCTTCGCAAACTTCCCATAACATACATCAGACATAATATATTATCATCAAAGACATAGTATTGTACTTTTGTAGAAGAATTCTACCAATGTTCTTATTGGCTTTTTAAAAAGTATATTAGCTATTTAGATTGTACATGGTGAAAAAATCAAAACATTAGCTAAATAAGAAACATATTAGCAAAATAAATTATCAAATATTGCTTCACTAATATTCTGCATTTTAAAGCGTGAAAATTCAATGCATAAATAAACGCGAAATATAAAAAAATTCAATGCATTCAATACAAACACTTAAACGTTTTTTAGACGT